TTGTCGAACGCGAACGGTCGTGTCTTTTATTTTACGCGTTACATTTTACATTTTACAAGGGACGTAGTTCAGAAGGGGCAGGGGGGGGCAGAAACGAGGAGAAAAGTTGTACAAATATGGTGCTCTCTGTTTTTTCTTTTAGTTTGCGATTTTATTTAACGCGGATTAATTTGTTGGACGAGTAGCTTTAGCAAAGAGCGCACTCGAATCGAATTAACAGAGCCGATCAACGAACGCTAAAACTAGGTCAAAAAGTTACAGCGCAACTTTTAAATCATCCATTTCCTTTCATCCTCGAAACTTGCAATTCGTATGGCGCGTATGTTCGCTGATCATTTTTTTTCTTCTTTCTCTTTTTTTTTTTTAAATTACGTACAGTCGTGAAAAGACGTGCTTGACAATAATGATATTCTAAACTTTGAAATAAAATAGCACTAGGTTAGGATGCCGATAGAGCCACCGTGTGTAATTAATTTCGTTAACATCGTGAAAATATCGGTAATTTAAGTACTTCGAGCAACATGCTTTTTAACTCGATTTCTTCGAATTAAAAGATAAAGACGGATTCTTTTCTCTTGTTTTTCTTGTAATAATCCGTCAGAATCGAATTACGAAGGATGGAAAAGCTTATTCTCACAGCGCTGATCACTCTCGTACGATGTTTTGAATGTATGAAAATTTCATAGATTTAAAAGACCAGCAATTGCGTATCGAGTATTCGATACATTAAGAATCTTTATCGCTCTTCTAACCTTCGATTACCAAGATACCGATCTTCGAATCGAATAAAAATTCTATGAAGAAACCGTCCGAGTAGGCTACTATCGCGAGCAAACGTATCGTAGATGTACGTTCGACGATTCGATAATCCTCGACACCGCCCTTCGCTTTTCCAACTTTAAAATAATTTTCGCAAGATATTGGATGGTCGACGATATTCCAGGATCGACCCCACCCTTAACGCGTCAAGCGAAGTGGACAGTGACGACATTTCGCACTTTGTTAGTACACGCGGCAACAGCTACCAACGTATACAACGTACATACCTACATAGATAATGTAGGTATAGGAGAGGAAACGAGCTTTCTCAGCAACAGCTAGCCTTTTGTCAGCTCCCACGACTTCTCGCGTCCACGCTTCTCATCGCCGTTCATCTTTCCAACTGGATTCCATTGCACTTTACCACGGTAATTTTCCGCATCCGTCGTAATTCGTTTCATCTTCTCTTATCGTTCTTACGTTTTATTTATTTTTTTCATTCGTTTTATTTCATTCGCATTTCCTAAATCAACGTTCTACGTAGCTTCGTAAAAATTTCGTTCCCTTCGTTCTCCTTCTTTTCCTTTCCTTCCTCCGTTTCGCTGTCGTTTCATTTGCCGGTTCTATCTTTTCGGCACATGGTCGTATTTATGAAAAAAGTAAATTTTGTTCAAATCATCGTTCAATTCTTTTCTACTTGCGATGAAACAAAACCTGTGATTCGTTCGTGCGAGTAGTAACGGAGTAAGATTTTTTATTCGCACGGAGCACAGAGCTGTTACTAAATTTATACGTAAATTCGGCATAGAGAATCGACTGAAAAGTTCGTCAAAGACGATAACGCAGACGATTCTTCTCAAAGTTCTTCGAACACATTTATACAAAAAGTGTTTGTCGATTCTTTATTTACGTCGGCGCATATATCCTATCCGAGTTTCGTTCTTCACCCGCTTACTTCTACTTTTCGTCTCTTCCATTATTATTCGTTTAACGTTCTATTCCGTTTTCGCGTGTCTCCTTTTGTTTCTTTGGCCAGGCCATCGTCGTTGTCGCACTCTCGTTCGTCTCCGCTTTTGTCCCACGTCGCGCTTTTCGCCTTTCGCCCCAATCCTATCTCCATCCCTTTTCCGTTTCGCCAGCTTTCGTTAATTTCGCCTCGCTCGCCAAGTTGCCCCTCGCAAATCTTATCTCCGTTGTACGTCCACCTTTCGCCCTGAATCCTAATGCATATATGCATGCACTTACGTACACAAGTACTCGAAATAAACGGCTGCCTGTCCTCTTTCTCCCCTCGTCACCTCCTTTTCCTTCTTCTCTTCTATTTCTTTATTTTGTTTTCCCTCGAGTTGACCAGTCTCCATCCCCCTTCTCGTTCTTCTGCGAGTGTCGTTAACGAGACCCGTGTGAGAACCGATCTTTATCTATCGTCGATGATCTCTGCAGCGAGGATAATTAGCCCGTAGAAGAAGGGTGAAAATTCGCAATTACGCAATTAAATGTCTGCTTCATTTCCCCTCTCGTTTCATCGACAATTATTTTCTTTCTTTGCTTTTGGCTCGCTCTTTAGTTTCTTTATTCTTTTATTCGCTTTCTTCGTGGCTCACTCGAGTAATTGTCTCGTGATTTTGAAGTATTTAGCGCTATTATAGGATACGAAGACACGGAGCTAGAATTCTTTGATTCTGAGGAAAATCCCGTTACAGGGCCAAAGAATAGACATCGAAGCGCGGAAACATATAGTTTCCGGAAATCTTCGAGTAGAGAGTATTTCACGTTTTTCTCGAAGATTTTCCGCAACTTGTCGAGATTTCCCGCGTGAAACCATCTCTTAATCTTATTAATCTTATTAATGTCAACTCGTGTTATCGTCAGAATTTGGGATTGTCGATAATAGCTGCTAGCTCGATATTACGATATAACGATATTACGATTATCGAACTTGTCTTGATAATCGATCTCTGTACTTCTACTCGATTTAGCATCATTTTCAAATCTAAACATTTTTATTATTTTATCTACGTAGAATCGTAAGAATAGCCGCTGGCCGACATGACGCGAATAAAATGCTCCCTTCCAACACTTTAATTACGATAAAACACCTCGCACTTTCCCTAATTCCTCTAATTACCGTGAGCACGAAGAAAATTGCGATGGTAGAAGCGAAACGAGATAGCACCGCGTTTTATATCCCTCGAAACCGATAATCCACCGTTTCGCAATCGGTCGAGAGAACAGTCTTCGTCGAGGTTCGAAACGCCTGATATCGCGATCGTACCTTATTTTCCTTTATTCCCTCGATCGATTTCCCCCTAAATATTTACCAACGACCAGCAGTAATTGTCGAGAATTATCGTTTCCTCCGTGGCTCAAGATCGTACACGCTTCTTACGCAATTCATCCTGTTTCGACCGTAAATCATATCCTGTCTCTGTACCAGCTGAAACTCTCGTTAGAACGAAATAAACCGTGTAACGTCTCCGCTCGTTCATTTTTTATCAATTGATTCAATCTTATAAATATTATTTATCAATTAATAAAATTGAATTTGTCATGGAAGAACAATTGCGTTCTATATTTACTTGTTTTTATTTGAAATATGTACAAAAGCGTTAAAAGTGGCAGTCGATACCAGGGAATATTTTCAAATCTACTACAAACGTATAAATCGTAACGTTTAGTAAGATCCTTTAAATATAAATTTAAGATAACTCGGATTAAGTGCTAATTCAAAACACGTATCAGTGGAGACTTATTCGTTTCCTTCCGTGCTTCTTTATTCTCCGAACATACCTACGTACATATGTATTTACAAAGCCGTACTCGCTCGGTCTAGCTTTCAGTTTATCACGATTGCGTAAAACGGTTGCAAATGTACGAGATATTGCTCTAGACCAGTATAGGTTACGTAGACGTGAACGATGAATTCAACAAAAATTCTAACGACCTACACGAAAGAAAATAATTTCATAATTTCATCTTCACCACTTCCTCTACGCGACTCTTAATCCACAGGTAGATAATAGTAAACAACGACGACAATGCCTCTTCTCCGTTAATTGTAAGAGCAAAAGTACCTTCAGCAAGCGGCTTCGCTAGCATTATGCCAACGAGTAGAAAATGTCTGTCGAGCGAATGGAATAAAACGAGGGAACGTTAAAAAAAGCTCACGATCACACCATCAACATAGCAAGCTCACACCATAAAAAGCGTGTACGAAAAGGCAAAACACGCTAATATCTTTGTTGCTGGCAAAAAGAATATCGTGAAACGATCTGTTCTTTATAGAGCGCGATGAGTGCAACCAGCAAATTATGTACTCTGCCTTAAAAAAGTTGACAGTTGTATCATAGATGACAATTAGTTTCTAAATCTCTCCGTTGATTGGGGTTAGGTTGATCGAATATATATATATATATATATATATATATATATATATATATATATATATATATATATATATATATATATATATATATATATATATATATATATATATATATATATATATATATATATATATATATATATATATATATATATATATATATATATATATATATATATATATATATATATATATATATATATATATATATATATATATATATATATATATATATATATATATATATATATATATATATATATATATATATATATATATATATATATATATATATATATATATATATATATATATATATATATATATATATATATATATATATATATATATATATATATATATATATATATATATATATATATATATATATATATATATATATATATATATATATATATATATATATATATATATATATATATATATATATATATATATATATATATATATATATATATATATATATATATATATATATATATATATATATATAAGTTTGCATTTAGTTTAATTAATTCTCTATGTTCGGTACGAGTTTTCGATTCCGTATATACTTTTCTGCCTTCGCCTTCTAACGTTACCTTTTTTTCGAAATCATGTTTTACGATATACCGATATAGGAAATGTCCTATCATGCAAAAATAGATTATACACTCTATGTAGACTGATCTTACAAAAATTCCAACGAGTTCACTTTTCCAGAGAATGCTTTCAACCATTTTTAAACAACTGTTGACATTAAGTAGAAAAAAGGAGAAGAAAAATCATTGCTTTTAAAAATCTCACAAAAGTCGTTTCTTCAAGTACGCTTATATGATCTTAAACGCTTACTTACCTCAAAAAGAGCGGTCAACAAGCAAACACCAAACACGGCAATGATTAATCTTCTAGCAGGAAGCATCCTCGTTCGGTTATCGTTCCCTGTTGATACGTTTCACGTTCAAGTAGCTGCGATGTTAGCCGGCAGTCGCCTTGGCTTACAGCATCCCACGCTATTCCTTGCAGGTGCACATCGATCACGAGCACCGGCTCCTAAGTCGTAAATTTCGTTCTATTTTCGAACGAGACGCTGAAAATCCGATTTCCACGGCCCACAACCCGGCCACGCGATTATATATTTTATCGATTACAACACGATCTGGTTCGCGGCACGATTCGATTTCATCGAACGGATCGATCGATCGATATATGTTCGATCGAAATTACGACACGTTAACCAACTCGATTTTCACAAAAGTTTATGACTTACTAGTAAACTTACTAGTTCGAATCAGGTAGCAGTCAATCAGTTTGGTTAATCAGGTTAATCAGTTTTGTTAATAAGACGTTTGATATTTCCGTTTCCCTTACTGACCAGTTAAGTAGCTTCGCACTGGAAAAAGATTGATGAAAAAGAACCGACTTCGACGGTGGCTGAGCGTGAATTGAGGGAACAGCAACAGTGCAGCTGTTATTGTTGAACACGCGCTCGATCACGTGGCTACCTCCCACCAACGCGTCTCGACACCGCGGACCAGGGGTGTTACAACTTAAATATTACGCAGCTAAATTACGTATATTCGTAATAAAGGTACTTGTATCTTGGCGACAATATCCCTCAAAAGTAAAACACGCTGAGACTCGAAAGTCATATTCTTCGCGCATGTCTGACATTTCTCCTTTACGAGGAAATGTCTTGTCTGCACTTTCTACGCGCGCGCACACTAGCAGATAATTCATAAATGTACATAGCGGCAACTTCGCGTCATAATATACGGCATTTTCGACGCCGAAATTATCTTTACGATATATCTCACATTACTTTCATTTGAAAACGATGAGACAAGGGTTAAATTCTTCTTTAAAAACAAGTTCATCTTTAGCCATTTTACATAACACATTGGTTTCTTAACGACTTTGTAACAATGGTTTTTTCGTAACTTTACAAAAAGTCACTTTTGCAGCTGCTTACCATAGGAATTACGTGTTAAAACTATCCACTTTGAAGATAAATATTCCAATTTCGATATAACTAGGCTGTCTAAAAATTGAATCAAACATATGATAGATTACATACGAAATAATGTATCGTCAAAATTTCAAAAAGAAAAAAAAACTAAGAAAGTCAACCTACTATCTTAAATAGTACCAAGTTTAAAAAATTCTCGCTTTTTTCAAACATATTATAAACACAATTATTTTTGCAGAGAGTGAAATTACTATCTTGGTGTTAAAGATAGCAAGGTATGTATATATTGATAAATTATGTGTCCATTGTGATAAACAATGCGATAAACATAAGTATATGTATATGTCATTACTCAATCTTACCTCGAAAACTACATCCGTCGAATGATGATGAATGATTAGTGTTTTAGCTGATTATTGTTGATAATAAAGTAAACTAAACATCGCTATATTATAGCGAGTTGTTTACTATTAAGCGTATAAAATACTTAAAACTCTATGAACCACGCTGGTTTCCAGCTAGTTGAACGTGAATCTTATAAGCAATCTGCACGTTCCATAACTAGGCAAAAAACGCTAGATTTTTTTAGGTGTTACGGATATTTGATGATGCCATGCGTCGTACATAAGCTTATATCGTGTATGCATATTAATATTCTGTATGTAACCTGTTGTACCTTATTCTGAGACTAACGCAATCTTTTCCTGTATTATCCATCGATTTTGCTTCCACGAATCAAAGCATTCTTATCTTCGACTTTGCCCAACTTCAACAAAAGCATCCTACTAAGAACAAAGTAACGAAGAAAAAGGGAATACACAAAAAGAACGCATATTAATGTATTCCTTTTGTATATTTCTAATAAATTAAGCAGACTTTGGAAATAAAAATTAGATCTACTATTACATTTATACAATAAATTATCCTATCTTTTATGTAAAATAAGTTCTAAAACGTTCTTTGCTTTTGTTTAAGTATATCGAAACTGTTTTAAACGATATAGTATGATTATGACAATTATAATACGATAAAATATAATGCAATTTGTTTTGTTCTTTTATGTTTTAAGTTTGTTTCGAATTTATGTTTCAATACCTTTCTGCTAGTCTTAGATAGCAGCTATCTTCGTCCTATACCTGTTGAGGCGGCACATCATATTAATTACAAAACAAACAAATTTCTAATTCAAGCATTCTTTAAGACAAAAACAAAGAGGTGTCAGCCGGTTAACAGATGGATTCCGTTTAGCAACGCTTGATTTATTTCTTGGATACATACCGGCTAGAATACATTGAAGAGCTCACTCGACCGTCTAACCACGAAATACAATCCATAGAAAATATGTAGGCTAGCAAAATGATCGGAATATTGAAAAATCTGTGGATCGTGAAGCCAATCGGTGAAGAAATTTGAGAAGAAAACGGGCACGGTCCACGCAGAAGATCGAAAGTAAACTCGTTGATCTGTATGTCGTCGTCTCGGGTCTCGAGTATTTCGAGCGAAGACGATCGCTTACCTCAGCTGC